AGCTGGTTTGGTGGTGATGAATTCTCTCAGCTTTTGCTTGTCTGTAAAGCTTTTGAACTCTCCTTCATATCTGAATGAGATCCTTGCTGGGTACAGTAATTTGGGTTGTAGGTTAATCTCTTTCATTACTTTAAGTATGTCCTGCCATTCCCTTCTGGCCTGAAGAGTTTCTATTGAAAGATCAGCTGTTAACCTTATGGGAATCCCCTTGTGTGTTATTTGTTGTTTTTGCCTTGCTGCTTTTAATATTTGTTCTTTGTGTTTGACCTTTGTAAATTTAATTAATATGTATCTTGGGGTGTTTAACCTTGGGTTTACCCTGTTTGGGACTCTCTGGGTTTCTTGGACTTGTGTGACTATTTCCTTCCCCATTTTAGGGAAGTTTTCAGCTATTATCTCCTCGAGTATTTTCTCATGGCCTTTCTCTTTGTCTTCTTCTGGGACTCCTATGATTCGAATGTTGGGGTGTTTCTCATTGTCCCAGAGGTCCCTGAGGTTGTCCTCATTTCTTTTTATTCTCTTTTCTTTTTTCCTCTCTGCTTCATTTATTTCCACCATTCTATCTTCTACCTCACTTATCCTATCTTTTGCCTCCATTATTCTAGTTGGTTCCTTCCAGAGTGTTTTTGATCAATTTATTGCATTATTCATTATTAATTGACTCTTTTTTATTTCTTCTAGGTCCTTGTTAAACATTTCTTGCATCTTCTCAATCCTTGTCTCCAGGCTATTTATCTGTAACTCCATTTTGTTTTCAAGATTTTGGATCATTTTTATTATCATTATTCTAAATTCTTTTTCAGGTAGATTCCCTATCTCCTCCTCTTTTGTTTGTTTTCGTGGGCATTTTTCATGTTCCTTTACCTGCTGAGTATATCTCTGCCTTTTCATCTTATTTAGATTGCTGTGTTTGGGGTGGCCTTTTTGTATTCTGGTAGTTTGTGATTCCTCTTTATTGTGGAGGTTCCTCCCAGTGTGTGGGGTTGGATGATTGGCTTGTCAAGGTTTCCTGGTTAGGGAAGCTTGCCTCGGTGTTCTGGTGCGTGGAACTGGATTTCTTCTCTCTGGAGTGCAATGGAGTGTCCAGTAGTGAGTTTTGAGATGTCTATGGGTTTGGTGTGACTTTGGCAGCCTGTATATTGACGTTCAGGGCTATGTTCCTGCATTGCTGGAGAATTTGTGTGGTATGTCTTACTCTGGAACTTATTGGCTCTTGGGTGGTGGTTGGTTTCAGTGTGCGTATGGATGCTTTTTGAATGATCTCTTATTAATTAATGTTTCCTGTAGTCAGGAGTTCTCTGGTGTTCTCAGGTTTTGGGCTTAAGCCTCCTGCCTCTGGTATTCAGTCTTATTCTTCCAATAGCCTCAAGAATTCTCCATCCATACAGCACTGATAATAAAACTTCTAGGTTAATGGTGAAAAGATTCTCCAATATGTCACTCTTTAATGAGTCACTGTGTCACTTATGACTTAAAATTCTTCAAGAAGTCCTACTGTATTTTGTCTGAAATCCAAATTTTCCCTGTGGTCCGCAAGGCTATATATGACCTGGCCCCTCCCGCCCATGCTCAACTATACTGGATGTCTCTCAGTTTATACAATTTAAAGGGAATCAGGCACTTCTTCTAATCACAATGCACATTATTTATACATTTCCCAATGTATATTTATATGTATATTTATTTACCTGAATTTTTGGTCCTTTAATTGAGTATTAACTCCCTTTGGGCCTGGAAAATATGAATTTTATTCAGATTTTTATTCTTAGTTTTGAGCACAAAGCCTAGTATACAATAAATCCATAATACATAATATTTTAAAACATATTAACTAATAAATGGTTTTCCCAGTAGTCATGTATGGATGTGAGAGTTGGACCATAAAGAAAGCTGAGTGCTGAAGAATTGATGGTTTTGAACTATGGTGTTGGGTATACTATTGATAGTCTGTTGGACTGCAAGGAGATCCAACCAGTCAATTCTAAAGGAAATCAGCCCTAAATGTTCATTGGAAAGACTGATACTGAAGGTGAAGCTCCAATACTTTGGCCACCACCTGATGCGAAGAACTGACTCATTGGAAAAGACTCTGAGCTGGGAAAGATTGAAGGCAGGAGAAGGGGATGACAGAGGATGAGATAGTGGATGGCAATACCAACTCAAGGGACATGAGTTTAAGCAAACTCTGGGAGATGGTGATGGACAGGGAAGCCTGGGGAGATGGAGTCCGCGGGGTCAAAAAGATTTGGACACAACTGAGCAACTGAACTGAATCAATGACTGTAGCTTTGGATATCAAATTCAAGTTGACATATCCCAAAGCTTTATTTCCAGCCCAGACCTCTCTCCCAAGCTTCATATTTGTTTATCTGAATTTTTGTTCAACTGTTCATCTAAGAGCTCACAGTTACCACAAAAACCTTCACAAAAATCTCAAAGTTATCATTTCTAAATGAGTGGAGAGTTACTTTCTCTTTCTTTCTTCTACATCAAACTCAGTTAGTGGCACCCCTATTCCCAGTGAGTCAGCCAAGAATGAAAAAACAGGAGACTTTTTTTTTTTTTTACCTGATTCTCTTGTCACTCATATTGGAACAAAAACAACCCAAAATCACAAAAGACTATCTTGCAAGTTTGACCATATCACATCACTAAATAAGATTTGTTAATGGATCTCATGGGAAAAAGTAAAATGGAAGTGATCAGATCTTCTCAGAGAGAAGTAAAAATCAGAAGATATAGAGGAAAATAGTCCACTTTAAAGTTATTTTTGGTGTAGAACTCAAGGAGGCAGAATGAGTTATGTATGACAGCTTCAATGAGAAAAAAAAAAAAGGCAAACAAAACCATGGCATCCAAATGAAATATGAGATGGTAGCCAAGGTCCAGAAAAGAGACTCTATGGGAAACAGAAGCAATTAATATTTTCAGAATGTTTATTTTTTTGCCAAGTGTTTTAAATATATCACCTTATCTTTCATCACAATAAGGCACTCCTCTATATTCCCCAGGAGTGAAGAGATGTCGTCCAACAGAGCATACAAGATTCTACTACAGTCATGAAATGTACAAAGTTCCCAACGTTGTTTGTTTGTTTGAAAGAATAAATCCATATTGGCAAGAAAGACATAGGTTTAGACAAGTTAAGCAATATGCATATGTTCTGGCAGCATAAGGTACTACAGAATTCAAACCAAAGTCTCTCTTTTATCAAAGTCTTCCTTATAATCACCATAATGAATCACCTCCTTTAGAGTTAAGTGCTTTCTTTGTTCAAAAGATCCTGGAATTCCTGAGATTTCTATGAAGAATTGTTCTAATGGGCTTCCCTGATGGCTCAGCAGATAAAGAATCCACCTGTAATGCAGGAGACACAGGAGATGTGGGTTTGGTCCCTGGATTTGGAAGATCCCCTGGAGAAGGAAAAGGCAACCCACTCCCATATTCTTGCCTGGAAAATCCCATGGAAAGAGGATCCTGGCAGGCTATCTGGTTCATGGGGTCACAAAGAGTCAGATACAACTCAGAGACTAAGCAGGAGGCATGTCAGTTCAGTTCAATTCAGTTGCTTAGTCATGTCTGACTCTTTGAGACCCCATGAACCACAGCACACCAGGCCTCCCTGTCCATCACCAACTCCCGGAGCCCACCCAAACCCATGTCCATCGAGTCAGTGATGCCATCCAACCATCTCATCCTCTGCCATCCCTTTCTCCTCCTGCCTTCAATCTTTCCCAGCATCAGGGTCTTTTTCAATGAGTCAGTTCTTCACATCAGGTGGCCAAAGTATTGGAGTTTCAGCTTCAGCATCAGTCTTTCCAATGAACACCCAGGACTGATCTTCTTTAGGATGGACTGGTTGGATCTCCTTGCAGTCCAAGGGACTCTCAAGAGTCTTCTCCAACACTACAATTTAAAAACATCAGTTCTTCGGCACTCAGTTTTCTTCACAGTCCAACTCTCACATTCATACATGACCACTGGAAAAACCATAGCCTTGACTAGATGAACCTTTGTTGGCAAAGTAATGTCTCTGCTTTTTAATACACTGTCTAGGTTGGTCATAGCTTTCCTTCCAAAGAGTAAGCGTCTTGTAATTTCATGGCTGCAATCACCATCAGGAAGCATGTAAATAGTATTAAATCCTCTCCATGAAAAATTTAGGATTAGAGAAGTCAAAGTTGATAAACACTTGTCAACTGTGGAACTTGGAGAATGCAGATACCACTGATGAAAGAGGCCACATTTAGGACCAGATTTCTTTTTTTCCTTCCTTTCTTTCTTTCTTTTTGTTTTGAAGGTAAGGAAATACGTTCCAGAGTGGATGAGCAAAAGTTGAGGCAAATTCGTAATCATATGTGAAAGCGAACATGTTGATAGCAGTGAAAGTGGTTGTTAGCTTTTTTGTTTTTTTTTTCCATTTATTTTTATTAGTTGGAGGCTAATTACTTTACAACATTGCAGTGGTTTTTGTCATACATTGAAATGAATTAGCCATGGATTTACATGTATTCCCCATCCCGGTCCCCCCTCCCACCTCCCTCTCCAACCGATCCCTCTGGGTCTTCCCAGTGCACCAGGCCCGAGCACTTGTCTCATGCATCCAACCTGGGCTGGTTTTTTAAAGTGATTAGAACTCAAGATCAACATTTGGACATCATTAACTTGGAGCTGTTGTTTGAAGCTACAGAAGGAGATGAATTCTCCTTGTCAGGGAGGAGAGCAGGAGAAAGAGATCAAGAACAACACATTGTGAAATAGCTGCACAGAGAAGATGAGAAGAGAAGAGAGACAATGAAACCAGCCGAGAACAGAGGGAGGGTAGTCAGAGATACAGCACTGCTTCTCATCAGATAGCAGTGGACTTGGCAGAGGACTGTAGTTCAGGTCACCAGAGTTTACAGGAGTGCTGAGGTAGCCTCGTTCATCCAAGTGAGATAGTGAAGAGATGTGCTTCTTAGCTCTGAGCCTGAATCTGGACTCGCAGTACCCTCTGGAGTATGCTGTATTACTTGCCAACAAAGTGTCTCTATGCTGTTCATCCCTTTGACAATCGTGTGGGTGTTTCAAGACACTGTGCAGTGTGCTTAGTCATTAAGTCATGTCTGACTCTTTGTGACCCCATGGACTGTAGCTCACCAGACTCCTCTGTCCATGGGATGTGTCAGGCAAGAACTCTGGAGTGGGTTGCCATTTCCTCCTCCAGGAGATATTCCCGACCCAGGGATCTAATCACATCTCTTGCATCTCCTGAATTTGCAGTTGGGTTCTTTATCGCTAGCACCATCTTAAACTCTAAGCAAATCTGTTCTTTGCTCCCTAGGGAATTCTCATATCTAGCAAGAGGCCAAAAGTGTGACTGGCAGGTCAAAGGAGTGACAAATTAATACACATGTGTGGATTGAAGTAGTTCTATCCTACCTGCCAGTCACACCTTGCCTGACTGACAACTGCCTGAAATAGCTGAAGAACTGAAGAATCTGGAAAAAATGAGCACTTTCATAGTAGCAAATCAGAGAGTCTCAAATATTGGAATCATCTGTGATATTTGTCAAAATTCTAACTTCTAGGCCTCATCTCTAGAAATCCTAGTCCATGAGTCATGCTTTGGGCAAGGTACCTGCATTTCTAAAAAGCTTATGATTGTTTCTGTTGTTGGATTGTACTTTAAACTTATGTATTTTTAAAAATGCTCTAGATAATAGCTGCTGAGGAAATCTTATTGATGATACCTTGCAACTGGATTAAAATGTTTCTCAGTAGATATAATCATTTTTGGCTTACAAACACCATTTTGGTTATTAATGTTTTGTGATTGTATTAACTGCTTCAAGATAAATGATAAGCATCTGTGTATTAAGACAACCTTTTTGTCATTTAATGATATTAAGTGCTATTAAATACACTATTGTTTTCTGTCCTAAAAAAATAAAAGATCATCAAAATTAATCAAATTTTGAGAAGACTGAGGATATTACCTTAATTATTTCATATTTTCGCTTTGATAGATTACTGAGGGGAGTGTGTTCAGGAGACAAGGGCCCTCTACCGAGAACATCCTGCTTCCAATTCAAATCTCAGAATAGGTAAGATGAGAGCCAGCTGCATGGCATGACATGGCATGGGGGGTACAGCATTTTGAGAAATAATTAGGTCCCAACACATTCAGAATTTTATAAATAATAAACACAACCTTGAATTGTCTAAAGAAATGAAATTGGCTAACTTGAGAGCACAGGTGTTTTGTGTTTGGTATTCCTCACCTTGCCCACAAGCAAGCAGATACGCTCAATACAACTTAATGAATCTTCTGGGAAGGCCCCAAATAGATTACCTCACAGGAGCTCAGTGTAGGAAGTGTCAAAGACAGGCTAACTCTAGCACTGTGCTTAGTTGAGAAAAAAGATACACTTTTGAACATTATTGACTATAGAAGCAGAGTGATTCAGTGTTATGCACAAAAACTCAGATGGATCCATTAAGAACTTTATTTTCTAGAATCTATTTTTTTCTTTATTTCTTAATTTTCTTTCTTTCTCCAGAACACCAAACAAGATCACTACCTAGTCGTGTTTGTATGTATTGTTGTTTCTTATCTTTCAATTTTAGGGGCAATGCTGCTTCATTAAAGTGGTAATCTTACTTATTCTACAAAGACTTGAATCATATTTATTATGCACCAGACATTGTTCCAAGTACTTTGCAAACATGAACTCACCTATTCCTCATAGCTATTTTAAGGACAAAGAAACTAAAGCCAAAAGAGGTTGACTAACTTGCCCAAGGTCACATAGCAAGAAATGATGTAATAGATCTGGAAATCACCCTCCAAGGTCAGTCTTCATGCACACCATCTCTTTATTATGCTACCTCTTGCTGAGTTCTACTGCCAAAATTCCCAGGAACCAGGGGCTGGGAGCTTACATGCTTATAACCTTTATAAACAACCTATAGGCAAGTTTTGTAAGATAGCTATAGTGCAAGAGATTTAATAAATGTGGTGGCACTAGCAGTAAAGATTCCACCTGTCAATGCAGGAGACATAAGAGATGAGGGTTCGATTCTTGGATTGGGAAGATCTCCTGGAGAAGAAAATGGCAACCCACTCTGGTATTCCTGCCTGGAAAACTCCATGGGTGAAGGGACCTGGCATGCTACAGTTCATGGGGTTGCAAAGAGTCAGACTTGACAGACAGACTGAGCACAGTGCACAGTTTCCAGTTAAACTAAATCACACCATAACATGACATTTGCATGGGTGTAGGTCAGCAGTTTAGATATGCCAGGCTAATGGATATTTTACACAGTTCTAGCCTCTTTCTCACCTCTAGGAGTGTCCTCTGACTGAAAACAATGTGGTAGGAAAAAATACTAGAATCAAACTGAAGAAATTCTAGTTGTTTCTCATTTCTGACATCCCTGGTTACATGTGGATAACCTTGGGTGGTCTCTTTGCTGAATAATTAAATGAGGAAGAAATATTAATAGTAGTATTTGTATGTTATTAGCCATATAAGACTATTTTGCAAAAGAAAGCAATCTATATTTTATGAAGAAAATGTAGACAAATTAGAGCATAATCATAAAGTTTGGGAAGGAGGTGCATAGTGACAGAGAAGCAAACCACTTGCCCTAAATTGATCCTCTTTTCTTAGATGATCCTAAGGCACTTCATAGTAATGATCTTCATACTTCACAACAAACTGTACCACTACAAAGAATTTGAAATGTCTGTACTTCCCTGAATTGTTTATAACCTCCTTATTTTTCAGTTCAGTTCAGTTCAGTTGCTCAGTCATGTCTGACTCTTTGTGACCCCATGGACTGCAGCACACCAGGCCTCCCTGTCCATCAACAACTCCCAGAGTCCACCCAAACTCATGTCCATTGAGTCGGTGATGCCATCCAACCATCTCATCCTCTGTCGTCCCCTTCTCCTCCTGCCTTCAATCTTTCCCAGCATCAGGATCTTTGCAAATGAATCAGCTCTTTGCATCAGGTGGCCAAAGTTTTGGAGTTTCAGCTTCAGCATTAGTCCTTCCAGTGAACACTCAGGACTGATCTCCTTTAGGATGGACTAGTTGGATCTCTTTGCAGTCCCAGGGACTCTCAAGAGTCTTCTCCTTATTTTTATTTGTCCCTTATTTTTATTTATAGTTCTGTTTCTTAACTATGGTTAGTCTTCTGAATTTGACAAAGATAGAAGTTCTCTTCCCAAAGCCCAGAAACAATTATTGATAAATTGAAAACCATGCAAAGACTAGGCTTTATGGTCATAGCATAACTCTTTTATGTGACTGATTGAAAATACTGAGAAATTATTAACTATTAAGAGGTTGACTCCCAAAGTATTTTAGTGTATGTTTGGCAATATTGGGTGGTGCCCAAAGATAGAATGAAACTGCTTTGGGTGTGACCTGCATTCATTATAAGGTTATCACTGGAGCTGTCAAGGCATTATGGGCAAGTACTAATGAGTCTCATAGTTTCAGAGTAAGTAGGGGTAATGGAGTGAATTTTCTACTTTCTCCTCAATAGAATTTCAAGTGAAGTGACAGGTTCATTTAATTATACAGAAACATGCAATAGCAAATGCTAATAGCCAAATCAAAATGTATCTTGTGACATAAATTTATTGTCAGAAAACAAAGTTCAAATATTTTAATAATAAATACATTTTTATATTTTAATTTTTATTCACTAAACCAAAAAGCCCAGCTGAGTTGAGAGTGCATGGGTAATGTTTTTGTAATATCAGTATAATTGCAAAGGGAAATGTTAACATCTCAGTGGGGACAATTTCAGTATTAAGTAAAAATTCGAAAGCTTTTGTAATTCAACATGCTACATAAATACCATTATTATATATTTCTAGTATTATGAAATTCAGTGAGTTAGAAAAAAGTCTCCTAGCATTAAGGCACAGTGAATGTGTATTTTGATGTTATCATATTTTAAACCTCACATGTAGATTTTCTTGGGAGAATTATGATGTTGCTAATAGTATAAGCACATGTTTTCTTGGCAGTTAAGCTTTAAAATGTTAGTTTTGCCAAAAACATAATCTTAAGTCAAACAGATGATTTACTTCAGTGAAGGACCATAGAGAATTGACAACATGGAAGTCGTAAATCATAAGAACATCACTTCATTCTACGTGTGCTTGACTCTCCTGTGGCCAAACTGATGCCGTTTCTTAGACAAATCCTCTGTCCTAGGTAAATGCCTGCAGAGTTGTGTGGCAAATTGCTACATAATTCTTTGCATAAAGGGAAGTTAACCTGGATGGAAACCACAAAGAGAAGCTTGTGACTTGAAGTGACTTCCAAGCTAGATTTTTTTTCCATCTTCTAGGTCTCCAGGATTTTCAGGGAGACAGAACTATCAAATGATCACACAATGACCGAGAAGAGCATAAAAAGCTGTAATCCAGTGTGTTGGGGTTTTGGCTTTATTTCTTTCTAGTCATCTGGAATTGCAATTCATCTATTATATACATTTTAAAACAGAATGATGTTTATTCTCTAAAATATTTTGAAATTGAAGAATTATATATATATATATATATATATATATGAAATAGACTACATTAAGCATATCATTTGCAATTTACATTAAAAATTTGTGTTACAATATTTTGAAAAATAGTTATTCTGTACGGTTTGATTCATATCAATATGTATTACAACAAGAGGGGCTTCCCAATTAGTGCTAGTGGTGAAGAATCCATCTGCCAATACAGGATATGTAAGAGACCCCAGTTTGATCCAAGTCAGGAAGATTCCCTGCAGGAAGGCATGGCCATCCACTCCAGTATTCTTACCTGGAGAATTCTGTGGACAGAGGAGCCTGGCTGGCAATGGTCCCTAGGATCTCTAAGAGTCAGACACAACTGAAATGACTAAGCATACATGCACAAGAAGAGAAGAAATTACATAATAAATTTTTCTAATTTGAGCTGTATCATTGCCTCAACTTTTACTAGTAATAATTCACTGGAGAATCTGAATTGTAGGTCTTAAATTCTCAGTACTAATTTTGAGAGCTCATTAAAATATTTTGTTGAAGAATGTGCATAGATTTATCTATTGTGATGAATATTAAATTATATATACATATAATTAAACAAAGTTAACCACATATTGTGTGCATTTTTGGTGTTATTATTATAGAAAAAAATAACAACTGTGATAAATATATTTTTTAAAACATGAAAAATATTTTAGGATAAGCCCCAATTCCTAGGTAATAGCTAAGGGTCCTTTGAGAGGTAAAATATGACCAAAATATTAGGAGAAATAAGAATTATTCTTGCAAGCTCAGTGTATAAAATATGAACAAATATAGGTATACCTTGGAGATGTTGTATGTTTGACTCCAGACCACA